ATCCCTTATATTTTTTCCCTCTCCAAATCCTACTAACTTTATTTAAAAATTTTTTATTTAACTCGGTGTTTTTGAGATATTTGAGTGGATTGTTTAAAATGGGACACCTTGTATTTCTCATTACTCTTGATAGCATTGCAGGCATAATAAATACAAAATATATTTTGTATTTATAAAAAATTATAAAGTAAGTAATTTTCCCAACTCGCCAATATACGCGCAACGCGCAAAAGTACAAGTACAGTGAGTATACAAAGTACAGTAAGTATATAGATACAAAAATATAGTGTCAACTACTGTAAATTATTTTAACCTGTAAATAACAGGTGTAAAGAAAGTGGTACAATAGGGCTCCAGGCGACGATCCACTTAAAAAAAATCGAACGCGCCATAAGTGGAACCTCAAAGGTGGTGCGGAAGACCACTACTTATTAATAGTACTAATAAAATTACCAATCTATATCTATTTGACTGCATTTTTAATATGCTACTGTGTTCCTCCACTAATCTCCACAGTACATGTATATGTAGTTACTGCAGTAATTTTGCTAATATGCAGTAGTTTAAAATAAATAATTAAAAGCTTTGCAGGTGTGTAATCTTTCATGTTGATAAATGTAAAATAGCAAGCATGGCTAAACGATAAGGCGAATGGCAAGAATATTAAAAATCTCGTGTTTGAAAACTGTGATTTTGTAACTTTTTTTCCTTTTCCGATATTTATTTTAAGTAAATTATTAGATAATGTTTTTGGCTAAAAGAAATTATTTTATCTTTATTAAAAATATTCGCATATGTTAAATTAGCACTTTGTTGCAACATTGTAAAATAACTTCATTTTTCTATTAACAATAGCAGATCTGTATTATTTCTAAAATTGTTAGTTTAATATATGCGAATATTAATAATAAATAGAAAATATATTTTTTTGGGCAAAAAAATATTATCTAATAATTTACTATGTTAGAAACAAATGTGGAAAAAGAAAAAAAGTTGCACGAAACAGGTTTCGAACAGGTGATCTCTAATATTCCAGCCACTCGCCTCAGAATTTCTTTTCTGAATCAGAAACGCTTGCTTTTAACATGCAAGTAGCATGCATTTATCGTCTGTTGTGTCGGCTCGGTGGAAGGGAGCGTTCGCTCTCTTCCATTGGTTGAACGGCCGAGCTCACACGGATACGTGACGTAGCGCTTCTGTAAGGTTGTGTGAGGCAGCGGAGCCGGGACCGCTGTGGGAAATATCGCATCACTGCACTGTGGCGAGGTAAGGCATTTGCAGTAGAAAAATGGCGGGTACGAGGGATGAAGTGTTATGTTTGATAGACGAAGAAACCAATGAAGAATTCGACCTAATAGTAACCAGCGCGGATGCAACCAGAGCACGAAACGGTAAGAAAATGGATAAAATACAAAATAGATAAATCATTCAACAGAAAGACGTTCAACAAAAAATTAACCTTCCGCGAAGCATGAGAGGTTAAATAAAACCCAGCCTTAAAACTGCTGTTTTTTCTTATAGAAATATCTAAAATATTAAAAAATACTTATATTTTATTTATTTTTAGATTCAACTTTTGCTATGCAATTATTGCAGCAGGCAAGAACTCAACGAATAAGTTGTACTACATCACAAGGTAAACAATTGTTAAAAAAGTAGTATCAAATTTCACATGCGACATAATAATTATTAATTTTAGCAAGTCCTAGTAGCAGTCAGATCAGTAGTACCAGTAGCAACAAGAAGCTGTCAGTCTGAATACAAGTGCAGAAGGTATCCATAGAAATTTACATAGTACCAAAATACTCGTATATTAAGTGATGTCAACAATAGTTATAAGCTTTAAGTTATAAAAAATTAATCACTTACAGGCACTTACAATCACAGAAGAATAATTGACTGATTGATCAATTTTCTTACGACTTAAAACTTACTACTCTATTGTAGACACCGTTTTAATCAAAGAATTACCTAATTTCTGTTGAATCATATTGTAGGTACACATGCATGGACAAAACAAGAAACTCTTTTATTATTGGAACTATATCGTCAACATCAGGCTAAATTTGTTGGTGGAAAAGGTACAATAAAGAAACATTGGGATTATATTGCAAGTCTTATGCAAGAAGAAGGACATAGCATAAGTGGTATGAAATGCACAACAAAATTACAATCTTTAAAATGAACATATAAATGTATTATGGATCACAACAAGAAAAGTGGTAATAATCGGAAAGATTGAGAATATTTAGAGGTAAAATTATTTACATTTTTTGGTTCAATTATATATGTCATAATAATGGTTCTATTATAATGCAATATTATATTGGTTCAATTATAATGCAATATTATATTTTTAATAATTTAATGATTTTAAGTTAGACATTTTGGTTTTTACATCACATACAGATAATGCAAGAGTTATTTGGTGAGAAACCCTGGATGCAACCTTTAGCTGTTGCAGGATCACACTTAAATGAAACAGAAAGTGAAAATGATTTACAAGAAAAAAAAAATCTTCCAGAAAAAGGTAATATAATATACGTCTTATAGTAGATTTAAAATTAATGTCTACGAGCATAAATACATACAATATATATTTAAAATTTCAGCCAAAAAAACTAAACTGTGTTCAGTTATAAATGATTATATATTATTTAGCAAGGAAGAACGAGCTAAACGAAGAGAAACTCGAGCAAAATAGCATGAGGAGAAACTACTCGCCTTTCAACGAATGGAAAATTTATTAGAGAGAGTAATAGAAAATGGAAATAAGTCTGAAAATTAGAAATTATGAAAGGTATTTTTTAAATTGTTTTTTTTTACATTTTATACTAAATATTAGTAATATAATATTATCTATGATCTTATAAGTTTATTTTAAATATGTGCAATGCAAAGATTGTGATATAATGTAAATTGTATTAGTTTTTAGTTTTCTTTATTAGTTATATAGAAAATGAGTTTATTCTGTGTCATCTAAATGCAATGTTTTTAGTTTTAAGAATTTAGAGGGTTTATTAAAAACAACTTCAAAGTACAAAGTTGAAAGTACAAAGTTTTTATTGTCATACGCTATTATTATATTTTTTGTGATACACGTGTATGTATGATGTACACATTTTTGTAACATAAATATAATTAAAAAGCATTTTGTGATAACAAATACATAATTGCATTTCTCTTATCAATTCCTTTTCTTTGTGTATCTTCTAACGGTACTTGTGCACAATTGCGTTCATTTACAATTATAGGAATGTCTATTACAGGGCTGCACAACTGGCGGCCCAGTAGCCACGCTTGGCTATTGCGTTTATTCCCCTGCCTTCACTCGTAGCGTAAAGGCTTCCCCCATTATCGCCTAAAGCGCTGGCGGAGCAGCCGCCAGAGTATGGTTGTGGTGGTAATATCGACCCGTGCATCGATCGTTTTTGTTTCTCTCGAGACACAGTTCACAGCTCTTTATTTCGTACGCATCGCGCATCGCTATATAAGAACTACCGCATAATTTTCAATATGCAGCGAAAAATCGATAAAGAAAATAGACATTTTCAAAATAATTGGAAATATAAATATTTATTTGCACCTAATAATTCAAGCATACGTATGTAGATATAGAGGTTGGCGCGAGATATAGTGATAGGCGCGCGGTCAATGGTGGGGACGTCGGAAATATCGCAGCGTTACTACTTGGCTAGTCGGCTCGCCTGAGTTGTGCAGCCCTGGTCTATTATATCATCGTGTAACAAACATATGTTGTGCAAAATACAACATGCAATGATATATTTAGGTATTAATTTAGTTTTATACAGTGGAAGTGTATCTAAAATGCTTCGAAAACGACCTTTTAATAAACCTATTGAACGTTCGACTATCATTCGAGCAGACGAAAGACGTTTATTAAAAATTAACTGACGTTCAGATAGATGACCGTTATCTTTAAACGGTACCATTATATATTTTGTGAGGCGATAGGCTGCATCACCCAATATGTGGCTGTCGTTTGGGAAATTATTATCCGTACACATTGTATCGAAATTTGACAGTCGGAAAGCACGCATGTCGTGTACATTACCTGCTTCTCCTGCATAGCAGTGTATAAATTGTAGCCGTTCATTACAAACTATCTGTGAAATATGTGTGATTTTATTATTAATCGTCAGTCCATATCAAACTACAGATTAGGATTAAAATTAAAGACCAATCGAAATAAAGTCCACAAAATTAGATTGGCTTTTTTTGTTCTAATAAACTGAATTCCAATTTAATTTCAATCTCAATTCGTCATCTTATACAAGCTTAACACAACATTCAATATACATATATATTATGTACACACAGTATATAACATGTATATTCTTAAAGCAAAAAAAAAAATTCAAAACTATATAAAATTATAATGTTAGAATATGCTATAAATCAAATTATAATGTTAAAATATGCTGTAAATAATATCTACAAATATTTATTCCTTTTACTTGTAATTGAATGGAGTGAAACCCTTTTCTATTTATATAGAAATCACTGCTTTCTCTTGGAGCAATAATTTTTATATGAGTTCCGTCTATTGCATCGATTACTCCAGGAAAACCATAATTTCTTCGAATTGTTTCGATACTTTGTTCACATTCTTCCAAAGTTGGCCAGTGAATAAATGTTGCCACTTTGCTATACAGGGTGGGCCATTTTAATCCATCCACGCAAATTTCTCTGTAAGTAAGCCAAATACAGAAAAATGGTTCAGACAAAAGTTGTTCAGGACAATGGGGGTCACCTATTTGTGCTAGACTTTGACCTTGAAGTCAATTTTCAAGGTCATTTAAAGGTCAGAGTTATTTTTTTAAATGAAAACCCCTATTTTTGATTCCAAAATCTAATAGCTGGTGTCAAGAGCTTTTCAAAACACTATAATTAAATTATTTTTATTAAGTACTTTTCGAGTTATGAGGCTTGTAAATTATAGTATTTTGACATAAAATACAAAATATCTTGTAAAACATTCAATTTTTGGGAATCTTACCTTAATACTTTTATGCATAAAATAATGA